AGAAAAGATATTTGGAGTTGATTTAAGAATAATTGTATTTTTACCTCTAGAGTGAAGCTCTTTCTATGTATTATAAAGTAATTAATAATATATCTTATACACATTTTGGAAAAACTTTTTGGGAAGTACGTTTTTGTGTGTGTGGAATTTATTCCTAGCTTGAGATATAATACATAATTTCACTGTGTACTTCAGCAAACAAATTATTTTGTAAGTAAATTCAAAGAGTTAAGAATTTAGGGCATTCTTTCCTATGATCACATACAGCATTAATAATTGTATGTAACTAAGAATAGAATTACAAAATCTTTGGTGTAGACTTATAAATGAGTATATGCTTTGAAGCAATATAATGCACACAACCAACTCAAATGAAATAAAATTTATTCTTATAATTTTGAAAGCCTGATGAATTATCATCTCAAATTAAAATCAATGATTAGCTTGCTTGCATTTGGGAAATGCTATTAAAATATAAAAACTAATAGAGAAGTTGATAACTTATGAAAAGTTATAGTATCAACTAACATTTGAAAAAGAACAGTCTTCAATTTTCTAGGTCATATAAATACTATAGTCTTGTTTTCTTTTATTGTAAAAAAAGTAATATGAGATGATACACATTGGAGTTTAAATATAATAAATTACATACAACCAAGATTAAAATATAATAATAAGTAAAAAGTTGAAGAAATTTTAAACTCTTCTCCAGAGAAACTTCAAAGACCTAATGCATGGCTACATTGGAATTAAGCTTTTTACTTTGTTTCTACTATTTCTAAAATATGAAAAGCAAAAAATAAAAAAAACTTGATGATTGTGTACTGATATAGCACTAAAGTAGAGATGAGTTCTACCTTTTCAAAGATTTCTGTACAAAAAGACACGTGTAGAACACTTGTAGAGGTATGCAGTAGGATTCTTGTCAGCCTACCAGAATCTTAAATATTTAAGGAAACCAATGCATGGAGGTAATCAAATGGTGACTTCCTAGCAGAAAAACTGGCAACAAAATATCTCCAAAATTGTGAATGACTAAAGAAATCAGTTATACCTTGTCCATTTGTTGCTAAAGAAGTGAGTATATCTCATGCTTTAATTATGAAATTTGAAAGACTATGATCTTGGAAGCTAATTTAAATAAATCTATAGTCAAGAACCTCTTAAATTAGAGAAACAAGAATAAAGATAGTCAGGATAATATTGTTACTAAAGACAGATATTTACTTTTGCCATTTCCTTATTACTGACTTTTATACTATGATACTTTATTCCTCTACACTTAAATCTCTTTTTTTAATGTGTTTGAATTGGCTCTAGGCATTGCCATGTACTTAATTCCTTTATAGTGGGAAGGACAGGCAAGTATTTCAAAAGAATTCTATTTTCCTAGCAGAATAGCTCTAAAGTGAACTCTTAACATGAATCTTCTGAAACTATTCTGGAAAACATAAGTATGGATATATTTGTTTATTTTGATTATAGTAAATCATATTTTTCTGTCTTACTACAATTTCTCCTAGTAGGGCATATTAAAAAGACTTGTAGTTGTGACACACACACACACAGACACACAGACACAGACACACACACACACACATACACACAAAATGTGAAAACATCTTCAAAGCAGGAAATCTTCCCATCATTGAAAAGTTTCCAGCCTCCTCTCCTCTTCTTAAAGAGGATTTCATTGAAAACACCTGTTGAGGAGTTGCCTGAGACTTAACAACTAATACTTGATACAACCCAAGTAACAAGTTCTTAAGAATTAGTAATCATCTCTACTTAATGGCAGTTTTCTTATTTAAACATGAAGTAATTCATATAGAATCTGTAATAATGAAAGTGCACGCACACACACACACACACACACACACACACACACACACATATCAAATCTACCTGCCTTACCACAAAATACATGTTTCTGTCCCTGTATAGCTTTAGAATGGATGGATGAATTATTTCATTTTAACTTTGTTGAATTGAAACATACTATTCACTATTCACTAGTATTGTCTTTGGAAACTTTATAGATGGACTTTTGTTAAGGGGTTTGATATATTTTGATAACAAATAAAATCTCTTTTCACAAGTCTTTGAATTTTTCCCCACATGACTTAATTTGTGTTCATATGCAGGAAATATGCACTTTTGCACAAGAAGAACCTAGAACACTAACTTTCACATTCTAGACTATGTGGAACACACAAAATGCTTAAACAAATGTCAAATGTAGCTATAACTTAAGTCATTTAGTCACAATGTTCCTGGATTTCTGTCACTGTATTGTTCCAGAGAATTGCTACACAATTGTGAATTTTTTTCCCCAACCTATTCATGGATGTAGATTGTACAGCTATTAAACAGCATATAAAATGCTGGAAAATGCAGGTGGAGCAAACCTAGTAGCTATTTGTGCATGTGGGTTTTGCACAGTAAAGCCTACTTTCCAAAATACACATCCAGTTAAGTAGTATGTTTCTTGTGCAGGGTGTATTACATACCCATAGTAATATAAACACTTATGAGGTACATGAAGACTTTTGTTTAGTCAAGCTTCTATGGCACAGCTGTTTGCAGCACACTGATGTGCAAAGAATAAGAAAGACCAGTGATTCCTTAATTTAAGAAGTTTTCCATAACAAGTTTAAGATAAACTTGATCCATTTTAAATGAAACTGACATATTAGGATTTTATGAAGCATTCCTCAGAGGATTGTAATCACTTAATAGAGAGGAAAAAGCTGCTTATTTTAGCAGTTTTTATTAAGGTTATTTCTAAGGCCGGGGAAGTAGGTAAATTGAGTCACTTTGAAAAAAATAATGTTCAATAACTTAAAAGTCCTTATATGTCTTGATGACATGGATTATGAGTCTCAGTGGAAAAGAATAGCAAGATAGTTTTTGTTTGAATCATGAGTGTGTTTGTGGGTGATCCACTTTAAGTTGTACTGCTAATTTTAAAAGGATCACCATCATTCTTATGCAATGATCATCTTCAAGGACTTGTAAGTATAGTAGAGTAGGACTGTCCCATCAAATCTGGGTATTTTAGTCTAACTGTTTTACTCACTAGTCTGACCAAGAAATCAGACTTGCAGGGACTCTACTGTACTAAATTTCTTTCTTTCTTTCTTTCTTTCTTTCTTTCTTTCTTTCTTTCTTTCCTTTCTTTCTTTCCTTCTTTCCTTCCTTCCTTCGTTCCTTCCTTCCTTCCTTCTTTCTTTCCTTCTTTCCTTCCTTCCTTCCTTCCTTCCTTCCTTCCTTCCTTCCTTCCTTCCTTCCTTCATTCCTCCTTTCTTTCTTTTTTTACTAGACACTAAATGAGTGTAAAACTCAGCAATTAAAGTGGAGGATTAAGCATTAACCCTCAGTGATAGCATCAGCTTCTCAATGCATAACAGTAAGAAAGGAATATAATGTGTTTCTATTTCTAAAATGATTGCAGTAGATCTAGAAAAAATAGCAAGGATTCTTCTATAAAGATTTTGATGATCCAAATACCAGTTTCACCCAGTCTCATAGAAAACAGCTTTTTTATAAGTTGAAAACCAAACATAATAGGGACATTCAGTAAGCAGTATAAAACGTGGGATTTAACACTATATTTGATGCCTTGGTGTTCAGTAGCATAGAGCATAACGGTCCATTTAACAAGAAGCTCAAGCTATCCTAGGAAAACATATTTTATTAAGTATTAGCATATGGAACACTCATTATATCCAAAGGACAAGATTTAAAAAAATTACTTCTCCATTATAACAATGAAAACAGTACTGATCATATGCCATTAAAAGTTATTTGCTTTTAAAAGCATGATAATATAGACAGATTACTCATAATTTAGTTCAAACTAATCGTCCTCCTGAAATGTCACTTTCAGTTAAACTCAATTTTGAACTTCAAGCACTGTTCATCTAGAGTAATATGTAACAACACACATTCATATTCAAGAATGATGTTTTCTATGACACAATTCAGTGCTCCATAAAATAAAAATAGTGGTGACTAGATAAAGTGCTCTCACAGAAGTCACCACTTATTTTTTTAAGAACTAGTATCCAAGGTTTGCCCCTAAATAGATTTTATCGTGAATTAATAATTTTGTATTACATTATGTATTATATTATAAATCTTATAGATGCACTAAAAATACACACTATGCAAAATAGATGCAGCCTGAAATTCAGGGAACTTTGTCTTACGTTTTCAACAGCACAAAATAGTGATGTGGTACTCACTTTTCATTCCTTAATGACTGCTCAGAAACAGATGTGTGTGAGGCTCCCCCCAAAACCACAAGCAAAACAAATACAAATTTCCCTCCTAGTAATGATCCCCCCTCCTCCAAGTTTGCCTATACTCAAACTTTTGAAAGCACGTGTGAGTATAATTCATATTACAAAAGCTTAAGTAACACCAGTGAATTACTCTGCTATTGCAGCTGAAGAAGATCTGTGTCCCATAAAACACTTAAAATGTAAAAGCAACTTTGGGGAGAGTGAAAAGTTTGTTCAAAGTGAGCTAAGTGGTAGAATTCTGACTGGTTGCTATTTTGTACTTGTTAAGTTTGGATATAAATTCTTCTGAATGTTCACATCAAATATTTTAATGGGATTAAAATGTCTTTACAGATTTCTACTTATTTTTTTTTCTATTCTGGGAATCCCGTGATGGAAATGAATGTTTAAAACAAAAACCAAATAAAACAAACTATTTGAACACTACAGTGATTTTATCTATATAAAAATAAACTTGAAAAATGCAACAGAAGTCAGACATACCTTTTGTTCAGATTTTAGACTCTTTACACGGGAGGGTTTATGTGTGCATGTGATATACAAACAACTGTTACAGTTAAAATAAACCCTTTTCGTTTTTCCCCCCTTTCATTGCTGCTGGCAGCCTGAGGCTAGTCCTGATCCAAATGTCTGAGGACAGCACCAAAACTAGCTCATAAAAGTGTAGTCCCACTTAGGCTGAAAGTTTCCTACCTGAATTATGGACATCCGAGTGGCAGGGGTCTCGCTCGAATTAGTCCCTTGTCCGGTGAAGCTGGTGTGGCAGCCTGCGTGTCCCTGCGGGACAGTCAGGTTGTTGGAGGCTGGTTTAAGATACATCACCTCTGACCTGGGCGAGCTGAGGGGCAGGCGGGTTTGGTAGTCAAAGTACATGGGGGAGGTGGCCAGGGAGGGGCTGCTCACCACGTTCATGACGTTCATGGCGTTCCTCTCCTCCACCTCGCTCTGCACCAGCATGATATCGTTTTTGTTGATCTTCTTCTTCTTGCCTTTGCCCCCGCCCAGCTGCGGGTGGCTGTATTCAGCGATGCGGCAGTTGTAAGTGCGGATCTCCTTGTTCTCCCGCTTGCACTTGACAGCGATGGTGATCATGGCCGCTAGGAGGATGATGGAGATGGTGCTCAGAGTCACGATGAGCGGCAGCGACACGTCCCAGTGGTGCTGCTCCCCGTTCACGCGGGGTACCCCCTCTGGCAGGGAGCCACTCACCGAGCGAATGATGAGCTTGGCCACCGCGGAAAGCGTGGGCTTGCCGTGGTCTGTCACCTTCACCACGAGTTCCACGACGGGGGTCACGTCCTCCCAGAAGGGGTGCAGCGTACGGATCTCCCCGCTGGATGGATCGATCTCAAACAGGTGGTCGTCGTTGCCATCCACAATTTCATAGGTGAGGCGCCCGCTCTCTCCAAAGTCGCTGTCCAGGGCGCGCACGGTGCTCACCAGGTAACCCAGGCCGGCGTTACGCGGGACCTGCAGCTCGGCGGTGTCGTTCTGTAGCGTGGGCAGTACGATCACCGGAGCGTTGTCATTCACGTCTAACACGGTCACCCTCACCGTGGCGTTGCTCTCCAGGTGCGCGGGCGCCCCGGAGTCCTTCGCCAGCACCTTGAACTCAAAGGCTTTCGTCTGTTCGTAGTTAAAGGAGCGCAGGGCGTAGATGGCCCCGTTGGTGGGGTTGACGGACACGTACGTGTAGATGGACACGTCGCCGATGTGCGAGGGCAAGATGGAATAGGACACGGTGCCATTTTGACCCAGGTCGGGATCCTGGGCGAGCACAGAGCCCAGGTACTCTCCGGGAATGTTGTTCTCGTGCACCTGCAGCACATACAGCCCTTTGGTGAAACGGGGCGGGTTGTCGTTCTCATCCAGAATCTTGACTGCGAAGGACTTGGTGGAGTTGAGGGGAGGCGAGCCCCCGTCCCGCGCGATGATCGTCACGTTGTACTCGTCCTGCGTCTCCCGGTCGAGGGGACGGTCGGTCACCACCGTGTAGAAGTTGTCATAGTTCTCTTCGAGCTTGAAGGGGACAGAACCCCCAGGCCCACCCAGGCCACCGCCGCCGCCGCCGGTTCCTCCTCCACCCAACACCCGGCACTGTAGCTGTCCGTTCTTGCCGGAGTCCCGGTCGGTGACCCGCACTAGGGCGATGACTGTGCCAGGCGGGGCGGCCTCGCTCAGCGCCCCCTGGCGCACGGAGACGAAACCGATGGACGGCGCGTTGTCGTTGCGGTCGATGAGCTTGACCGTGACCTTGCAGTGGGCCGGGATAGGGTTGGGCCCCAGGTCTCTGGCCTGCACGTCAATCTCCAGCATCCCGTTCTCTTCATAGTCCAGGTTCCCCTTCACGCGGATCAGGCCCGTCTTGGGGTCGATGGAGAAGAGCTCCCGCACGCGGTCGGGCACGTAGCTGCTGAAGGAGTAAAGCACTTCCCCATTGGGACCCTCGTCGGCGTCGGTGGCGTTCAGATCGATGACCACCGTGCCCAGCGGGGCGTTCTCGGGCAATTCCACCAGATAGGAAGGCGCCTCGAAGACCGGACTGTTGTCGTTGGAGTCGATCACTTTCACGTTGATCTGCACCGTGGCGGAACGCGGCGGCTCGCCCCCATCCAGGGCGGTCAGCACCAGCGTATGGTGGTTCTGTTGCTCGCGGTCCAGCGCCTTCTGGATGACCAACTCGGGGAACTTGGTGCCGTCGCCGCGGGACTTGACGTCCAGTGCAAAGAGGCCGTGGTCATCGCGCGTGAGCAGATAGGTGCGGAGCCCGTTCTCACCTGCGTCCGGGTCGTGGGCGCTGGTCAGGGGGAAGCGGGTGCCCGGGGCGGCGTTCTCCGAGATATCCATCTCGATCTGATCCGAGGGGAACGAGGGAGCGTTGTCGTTGATGTCCTGGATCTCTACCTTGATCATGCAGATCTCCTTGTCGTTGGCGAACACTTCCAGGGACAGCTGGCATTTGGCGTTGTGGCGGCACAGGGATTCGCGGTCTATGCGCTGCTTGGTGTACAGGAGCCCGCTGTCGGCGTCCACGTCCAGCAAGTGCGGTGCCGAGTTCTCCAGCACCCGGTAGCTGCCGGACTTGCTTCTCCCGCCGCCGCTGCCGCCTCTTTCAGCCGGCGGAAGCCCCGGCTGCAGTCGAGCATCCTTGCCGATGTTGCCAATGACCGTGCCGGCCCCTTGCTCCTCCGGCACGGAATAGTTCAGGTTTTTAAGTGTCAGGGCAGGGGCCCAGAGAAGAAAGCAGCAACAGATGGAAAGGTACATCCCAGACCGGTGGGGTGGGGGCAAGTGCAGCCGGAACGGAGGGGCGAGCGGGTGAGTGCGCGCCAGCCTGGGGCCGGGGCGGAGCGCGCGCGCGCGCGCGCGCCAGGAGGACCGAGAGCCACAAGTCTGGTGTGTGTGTGGTGGGGGGTGGAGGGGGTGTTCTCCTCTCCCTCTGCACCCGAGCTGCGGCACGGAGGCAGTCAGTCCTCTCCTTAATTCCGCTCAAGTTCCCCGAACCTGTTGATCTACAGCATCCGCACCGAGCTAGCAACCGAGGCGCCGCCGGAGCAGCTGCAGTTGGGAGCGAGGCGGCGGCTCCGGGCTGCTGGAGGGCGAGCCCCGGGGGGCTTTGTCTGTCTCTCTCCGGCGCGCACCCGGACTTCGGGAGGTTCAAACTTGTGCGAGGGAAGCCGGCGAGGAGAAGGAGGAGATCGAGTCTGGGGGAGGGATGATAATGAGCTAGAGGCTCGCTCGGTTAGCCTCGCTCCCGCTAGGGCGCTGGAAATCCGCTCCCGCCGGCTGGTTACTGAATAGTCTTGCCATGGGGCGGGGGGGAGGGCTGGGGAGGTGTGTCTCCAGGCAGATCTGGAAAGTGAAATCCTTACTTGGTACTCGTCTTCCGAGATGAAATTCCTAGGGAGTGAGGATCAACGACGAAAATAGTCACGGATAATTCTCTCTCTGTCTCTCTCTCCCTTTTTTGTTGTTGTTGTCGTCGTCCTTTCTGAAGCTTCTTTTTCCCCCCTCGGCGCACGGTGGAATAAATGTCTGCTTCGTGGCGCAGGCTGCTCTGTCTTCAGGCAGTGTTTTGCTGCATTTGGAGATCTAATCTTGCATTGCTGGCGAACGCAGCGGCGGCAGCGGCGGACTGCATCTCCCAGCCAAGCGGTTTTTTTTTTCCTTTTTCTCCCCTCTCTCTCCTTTCCGAGCAGCCAAAGGGAGGGGAGGAAATGCAGCGCAAAGAACTAGTGTCCCGATTTGTAGTTTCCTCCCTCTGCCAGGCTCCTCCCTCTCTTCCTCCGAAAAGGCTTCCCAGCCTCCCCCTCCCCCTCTTTGCGAAATCCAGAGAGAGCCACAGCCCGATCAGCTTTTGCGGGGTGAGTCTATCAGGGAGGGAGAAAGAGAGAGAGAAGAAGAAAAAAATCTGGATCTATCTCCGCCCCTGTTCGCAGAACACACTGTGATGTCTCTACGCCGAGCCAGTGGCTTTCCGCTACCATCCCATCCTCTGGCAGCGAGCGAGGGACTTCTCTCCCGTGCAGTTTAATTCCAGTTTGCTGTGCTTCCCAGGCGCAAGGAAATCAACAGGCAACTCATGGTTGGACGTGCAGCCTCGGAGGGGAGGGCGAGAGGCAGATAATAAGGAAGGGAAAGCCTCCCTCCCTCCCGGGTCCTCGCGCGGGCTCTCTCTCTCTCTCTCTCTCTCTCTCTCTCTCTCTCTCTCTCTCTCTCTCTCTCTCTCCAGCCCCCCCTCCCCAGTCTCTTCCTAGCTAGGAAACAGTCTCCGCATTCACAGGGCCGGGGCTGTCAAGTGCCTCCCTCCCCCCCTTCTCTCTCTCTTTCTCTCTCTCTCTCTCCTTTTTCTATTCAGCAGCTCCTTCCAAATAGCCCAGCCTCACAGTCCTCTTCCTTTAGAAAGGGAAACCGTGGCGAGGAATGAAAAGTGAATATTTCAAGAGAAGAAAGTGCAGAATTGTTCTTTTTTTTTTCCTCCCTCCTTCTCCCGGTGAGATGATGGTGGTGATGATGAATATTTTTAATAGTAGAAGGAGTGGGCTGGGTGAAAGAAACGCATGAAGGTTTTGGCGTGATGCATTCTGCAGTCTCGCTCTCGCGCGCTCTCTCTCCGTCTCTCGGGTCGACTCTGCGAGTGCAGGGGCTGAGTTGCTGCAGCCTTCGCGGTCCAGCCAGGGCTCCCCACCCGCGTCGGGGAGCTCCCTTCCCAGCGGAGCTTAGGCGCAGGTTTGTCTCCACAGGGTTTCGGGTTCTCCAGGAGCCTGCATTTTTTATTTATATATGTCTTTTCTACTGGGAATGACACATCCAGAAAATGCAGGTGTTCTGATCTACCAGATGAGTCAAAAAAGCAGCGGAACGAATCGTATTCACTCGCGGCTCACGACAGGCATTAGTTGCGGCTTCTTCCTAGGGCTTTCTCTGACTCACTCAATGGAAAGAAGAAGACGACGACTAGATGCATGTCTTGGAGGTTGGGGCGGGGGTATGTGTGGTGGGGGGGGGTGGAGATCCGAAGGAGAGGGAATGGGGGGGAGGAAGAAGCAGGTGAATCCAGTAGTACTTTTACTCTACCTCTTCCTGCAGGAGTCCGAGGCTCTGTAAATCAAGGCTTCTGCTTTGCTAGGTGTATTGTATGTATTGATTCACGGGTATTCTTTTTAAAAGCCCCACAGACCCTTTTCTCTTGGGTAGGCAGGAGGAAACCCCAAATCTTTCAGTCTTGGGGGGGAAATCACGTTTTCAGAAATCATTCACAGCTTAGTCTCATAGGATCATAGTTCAAGATATACATATACATGTATATACATATATGTGGATATATGTATATTTTTTCCTCTCAGTGCGCTCTAGGCACCAGGTCCAGCATCCGTGTGCATTAGGTGTGCAGCCTGGGGTGGAGATGCTGCTTTATGTTTAATTCCCCCCCTCCCCTACCCCCGTCACGGGTGGTCTCTGTTCAAGTCTGGTGCTTCACCCCAAAGCCTCAGGACGACGTGCGGGCTTCCGACCAAAGACATCCATCTCCTTCGGCGACGCCACGGAGGGAGGGCGCGAGAGGTGGGAAATTCAATTCAACAGTTGGAGAGGCATCCCCGCCGCCGTCCCCGCCACAGCCGCCCTCCGCCGCCGCCAACGCAGCCGCCACAGCCACCTCTGCCGCTGCATCCGCCGCCGCGCTCGGCTCGCAGCAGCTCCTCTGGCTCCCCAGCGTCTCGCGCTGACTGACTCTATTCACCTCACGCCGCCGCTTAAACATTGATACTGATTCCCTGCCAGCCAATCCGCCGGAGGAGCACGGCCCCACCCCCTCGGCCCACACCCAATGGGAGGCGGGGAAAACGCTGGCGGGGGCGGGGCCAAGGAGCCCCAACGCTTGAGAGTCATTGATTAGATCAGTGGGATAGGAAACCACACCGGGGTTTGCGGAGCCTGCGCCTTGCCGGTGGCTGCGACGCCCAGAGCTTCGCCTCCACCGGGTCTCCCGGGGTGTATTTTAACTACTCGGGAGGGAGCAGCACATCTTTGTGTTCTTGTTGTTTTTGCTTGTGTTGTCGTTGTTGTTTTTAATCAAAGTTTGATAGTAGATTTATTTTTGGCTGGATGTGTACAAGAATGGGAATCACAGCATGCTTGGCATTTGCGGTCTTCCTTGCTGGATTTCTGCACACACACACACACACACACACACACACACACATTAATGCACACACACATGCCATCATCGTTTTATACATCTATGCGAAGGGAGGCGCAGATTTGCTGACTCTTCGTGGGCCCATCTAATGAGGTGCGAAGGAGTGTGTGTGTGTGTGTGTGTGTGTGTGTGTGTGTGTGCACGTGTTCGTGACGGATGGCCTGGACATTCACTGGGTGTGTGAGGCTTCCAGAAACGTCCAGGGTGCTTCCCTTACCAGAGTAAACACGCTACAAAAGCAACCGATATGTGACTTTCTTCATCCTTAGAGGAAAATCGGCGGTCCCCAGATACCCATGCAAGAAGAGTCACTTGATTATGAAAGTGTTTCAGAAGAAAAGCACACTCCCTTTGAAAGCCAGGCTGTGTCTCCTTAGAGAAAAAGCATCTCTGTTTTTAGGAGAAAGCTTTTTGGTCCACACAGCTCTTCACTGGTAAAATCTCAAGTTTGGCTGCATACTTAAGGTCCTACTCTTCTTGCCATCCCTCCTCCAGACTCAGTATAGGTTCTAGGTGATCCCAGGCCCCACCCAGAGAGCAGCAGTTTTGTGTTTAGTGCATCTTCATTCTGTCATCCATTTATTTGTATTTTTTAGTCCACAGAGCAATTTGATGTCTATCTTGCTAACATCTAATAGATATATTTGCCAAAGCCTGGAGGCTTGGAGGCTGAACTGTGAAAAATATAGATAGAACAGTGGGAGATCTGCAATGATTCCTGTTCTCTGTCTGTCTCTGCCTCTCTGTCTCCAAATTGTCCTCCAACTTCAGAAATTTCAAAGATTCATTCCCCCCCCCCCACCTCTCAGTAAATCTACAAGTGAAAATTGGTTTACTCATGAGCCAGCCATTCTGGGAAAGAGTTAAGATTAAAAAAAGAAAACTGTATTGAAATACAAAAGGTGAGTGTTTTGATTGCTAGAGTATTGATTGCAATTCATAAATACTGAAGTTAAGTTGCCATTTATAAATTGTGAATGATTAACATACAATTCTGTAACATGAATCATTCAGGATTAAAAGAAAATCAAATCTAGACCAATTACAAGAAAGTTCTGAAGAATGTTGTTGGGATAATCATTTAAAGATTCAGGTAAAGGAGCTATTTATTTCTTCAAGACTTCAATGAGATAAGGCAGGCCTAAATTTGCAGTTCCAGCTATTTGCCTCTTCCCTAGGAAACTCAACAGTTTACAAGCTCTTTGTAGCCAGACTTTCATGTCCTAAAGTGTCTTTGCCTTTTTGTAAATTGGTAGTTTATCATGTATAACCACAGATTAGAGCCTTGCAGAAATCATGGTCGTTTGCTGAGTGGTTGCTTAAACATCAGGGCTTGAAAAACTCCAGTTTATGTCTGGGTAAGAGAAGTCCAAGCACATATACTCCACAACAAAGACTTTGAAAATAGTAGCTAACTTAAAGCATAATGATTGCACGCTAATTGTTAGTGTAGAATTACATAACAGTGGGATCAAACACAGAGCCTTATACATGCTTGACAAGTGTTCCAATATCAGTTACACCCCCATCCCCATTAATAGTTACTTTCTTAATTTGAGAAATTTAATTTATTTTAGTTGCACA